GCTTAGGGCTCCAGGTCAGATCGGGTCTTATGCAATACACAGACCAGCATCTCTGGAGGCTATCGCACTCTCACCACCACAATCAGGTCAGGCCATATTTGTTGGCCCACATTGATGTAATCAGCACTGGCTTCTGCCAGTGAGTGATGGGCAAGGCTTTGTGGCCTCGCTGCCTTCGCTGATCGAGTTACTCGTCTGCTTGGCAGGAAAAGCTCAAGGATAACCCCCCCCCCACCTGTAATCTAGTATGCAGGTTCAATTCGATATCTCACCCATTTTTCAGAGTTTTACCCTGCTTGATGTGCTGTGGAGTGTCACAGGAAGACCTTTTGTCAGTCCGCAGGCATAAGTGGCTGTTAATGATGGGCCGGGCACCTTAATGTTTGTCCTGATGTTCCAGCTAAGCTTTTTGTCTACTGTTACTGTCCTCCTGGGACAAATAAAACTACACTTCCTCCCGCTCCAACAGCTTTGAGCTTTGAGCCACACTGCCCACTTTGCTTTCTCTCGGTTACTTTTAAAGGAAGTAAGATATAAAATTACCTGCAATGACAATTAACCTATTTGCTATTACTTTGTTTACACTCAGCTTTAACCCTGTATTGCACGATGTTGCCTCAGGGCAACAAACTCATTCTCCTCACTTTACAATAACATTATACATATTTAAAGACAATAATAGGGTTAATAATAAAGGGAAGAGTTTGAGTGAGTCAATAAAAAGCATGTACTTGGTCATATCATCCCTAAGTGGGCACATTTAAACCTATTTTTTAACATTCAGTTCAGTAAATTTTTTTTTGTTATGAGAATTTGCAAAAATATGTTTGTTGCCTAGAAGCAACGCTGTGCGACAGTGGAATGAATTTAGCCAGTCACAAGCCAAGTCTCACCACATCAGGGAACACAGCTCTATATCATTTCTTCCCATTGTCTCACAACGTTGCCTCAAGGCAACATACTCCAAAAGGACCCCTGCACACAATTTTTTAATGTTTTGGAATTTAATAATCTGGACCAATTATTAATAATCATTTTTTATAATTTAATAATTATATAATTTAATAATCAAGGACCATTTTATGCAAGAAACACAAATGCAAGAAAGTCAAGTTTTTAAATTGCTCTCATAATTCATGCAATAGAGGGTTCATCAAAGCATCATATTTGGTATGAAGGGTAGATTTTGCCTAAAGTTTGCTTTCTAAAACACTTAATAGCACTTATTTAACCCTTTTTTGCCCAAAGGTTTAAATGCATGAAAGGTTTTCTTGCTGACATGCTGTCATTATTCCCATTATTCCCCAAAAATATGCTAATTTGTATTAAAAGCATTTCGAAAACTAGGCCCAAACATTAAACAAGCAGTAAAAGTACTTCCCATTGTTCTACGAACTGGAAAAACTACATTTACTATATTTACTACACAAATGGCCTTTTGGACATTTTGACCCCAGCTTGCCCTTCACGGTTTCATGGTTTGACCTGCAGAGTTGTGGTTAGTCCTCCCTGAAATATTTGCATACCTCCGGCCACGAGAACAGCCGGTTTGACTCTTCACTGAAAGTCGTGGTCCACAAACTGTCTGAGTTGGAGGTTCCCAGCTGCTAAATACGTAAATGTAAATGCACACACTCTGCAGCAGAGCTGGGGAAATAAAGCCTTGCTCTGTCCAAAACTCGAGCTGCCCCCTCCTTTTCTCAGGACCGCATTCCTGCCGTCTGCAGGGCGACAGTAACGGCTGGCCTGGCCCGGGAAACTCCACAGTGCACAGCACGAGGTAGATAATGTGGGCAGTGTTGTGCTCCGGTGCCGATCTGGTACAGAAACATCTCCACCCCTACTCCCAGACAACAAGTCTAGGTCTCTTCTCTCTCGCATTGTGCTGGAATGGGGAGTCCTGGTTCAGACTCTGGATGAGCCTCTGTATCTTACAACCAGGTCTTGAGCAGTTGAAGTTATGCACAGGTTTAATTGGGCCTAAAGGATTGAATACAGTCAGAGAGCACTCTGAGTCTGATATGACACAGCAGGTTTAGCACCTGAACTGCACTGTGGCCCTACAAAATTCCATCTCAGCCCAACTGTAGTGGGTTCAGACAGAATTGTGTCCCAGCCTGACTGTAGTCCACATCCCAATTTGACAGTAGCATGAAAAAATTCTATCCTAACCAAATAGCCTGACAGAATTCGGTCTGACTGTGGCCTGACAACATTCTGAATCTGACTGTAACCTGACAAATTTCTGCCTCATCTGACAAAATTCAGTGTCAATCCAACTTTAACTCGGGGAAAAAAAAATACAGTCCAACTGTAGTCTGACAAAATTCTGAATCTGACTGTAGCCTGACAAAATTCTGTTTCGAACCGACTGTAGTCTGACAAAATTCTGAATCTGACTGTAGCCTGACAAATTTCTGTTTCGAACCGACTGTAGTCTGACAAACTTCTGAATCTGACTGTAGCCTGACAAATTTCTGTTTCGAACCGACTGTAGTCTGACAAAATTCTGAATCTGACTGTAGCCTGACAAATTTCTGTTTCGAACCGACTGTAGTCTGACAAAATTCTGAATCTGACTGTAGCCTGACAAAATTCTGTTTCGAACCGACTGTAGTCTGACAAAATTCTGAATCTGACTGTAGCCTGACAAAATTCTGCCTCATCTGACAAAATTGTCAATCCAACTTTAACTCGGGGAAAAAAAAATTCAGTCCAACTGTAGCCTGACGACATTCTGAATCTGACTGTAACCTGACAAAATTCCGTCTCAAACAGATTGTAGCCAGACAAAATTCTGTATCAATCCAACCCGGAAAAATTCTTTCAATCCGACTGTAGCCTGATGACATTCTGAATCTGACTGTAACCTGACAAAATTCTGTTTCGAACCGACTGTAATCTGACAAAATTCTGCCTTAATCTGACTGTAGTGTTATAAAATTCTGTCTCAATCCGACTATAACCTGACAAAATTCTGTCCAAACCTAGATGTACGTCAACAAAATTCTGTCTGAACCTGGCCGCCACCAACCACAGACCAGAAAGAAGTCCACATTCCTAATGACAGCACCTGTTAAGTTACCTTGCACCGACAATGATGGTTGTCATGAAATCACTGATAAACAAAATAAAAAAATTAATAGCTTAGTTATTTCCTATCCAAAATTAGCTTTCATTCGTGTGTGAAATACCTCTACGATTGTGCATCTCTACCTGATCAGACTTTATTGGATACCTTACACACCCTTAAGCACCTTCTTTCTTGAATTCCACCGCAGGGTCAGCAGTGGAATCACAGAAAAGTAGGAGAGGGGGTTAATCATCCCTTCTGAAAGAAATATTTGTCCACTTTTGTTTGTCCGGTCAAGTGGCTATGACCTTTGCATCACTTGTGCTCTTAAAAGGCCTCTTGCCCTGATTTACAGTGGGGGTCATGGTCGGCTAGCTGGTGGAATATATGCATGGCAACCGTTTCCCTCTCAGCTCTGACAGGAAGCGTTGGGCCTGTGCCGGGAGCTATTTTTAGCCACTTGCTGCAGGCCTGAATGGCTTTGACTCATGCCATCAGCTTTTCTTTCGGTGCTTTGTCCTGTTTTACGCACAGCCAGCAGTCGGCCGAAAACGTCCCGCCGCTAGCCAGCCTATGGCTCACTCTCCCTCTCAGAGCCGTTGCTATTTATGGCTCAGCGAGGGCCCTTGTTATCTCCTGTTTTGTGTAAGGACACAAGCCCCCGGAGGCTCAGTCGTCAAGCATAGCGCAGCTGCCGTAGGAACCGGAACAGTTCTCCTGTTGTCAGAGTGCATGAGTACATCTATTTTTGGCCTGGGTTGGAAACACGGGGTGTGGGCTGTTTTTACTGGGCTTGGTGTTTTACTGCTGGCAAAACAAAGGAGGATGAGCATCGGGCTACTATCATCAACCCCGTATCTCACTACTCTGTGCTTATAGTACAAAACATTTTGCTAACGGTGCATGTTTTTTTATCAAACAGTGGAATTGCAACATGACAGAACCTGTTTGCATACACAAAGGAATTGGGACCCTTTGTCCCAATACATCTTGTCCTTTATGTTGTTGATGTTGGCTGATCTACTCTTTTATGTTATAATAACAATAGTGAGATAACATCGGCTAAAAAAACCTCTACAGTAATGAATCCTGCTTACTCAACTGTTATTGCATTGCGTCATTACATTGCAATATTATCGATCTTCCTGTCCTGTTTTTGCTTTGATTTCAAAATGTGCCCAGCAATGCAACGCAGAGACTATGGGTAACTGATATGGATCATTTTTCCGTTTATGCTTATTTACAGAGCTGAACAATTGATCATGTTTTATGTCAAAATGCATTTTTCAAAGCCCAAAGCTGCAACTTTATCTTGCATTATCCAACATTGTCTTCAGTGTTAAGTGAGGAAATGTAACAAAAACAGGCCTAGAATTTAATATGTAGAAATTAATCATGTTTAAATTGCAATCACAATATTGGTCAGAAAAAAATTGCATTATTTTTCCTGAATTGTTCAGCCATACAAATCTGTATAACCTGCAATATGCATGAGAAAACCACAGTGCATTATTTTCACTATAAATTAAGTTTGTCATGAATTTGTCTTGTTTTAAATCAGTGTGAACTTGTGATGACCTGTGTTAGCTGTAAAGCTATTCTAAGCCAAGGTAGCCACACTTAGGTGTCTTTTGAAGTGCAACTGTACTTGCATGAGGTTGCTTTCAAGAATAAAGTTTGACCTGCAAGTGCCCCCACGATGCGTGCAGAGCTATCATTTCCTCTAACATTACGTCAGCGTTACTGTCTCAGGCCTGCGTCATGCACAGCCAAGGACGTACTAACCTTAGTGAGTTACCCTGACCTGCAAGGCAACGCCAAAAATTCCCACCCCTACTTAGCATATAAAAGCTGCCCAAAATACTCAGGAAACATTAAATATGACTCAAAATTACTTTATTCAATTCCTGGCATGTTGCACACGTACATTTCAACATAAATACAAATCATTAAATTAACACATTAAAACAAACAAACAACGATGAGAAACTCCACAAAAAAGGTAAGCTTCATAAAAGAATAAGCTTTTTCTTGTCTAAAACCAGTAAAGACTCTTCTAATTCCCTTTTAAATAGTCGAAATAATTAAAGACAATATTAACATCATAAGTTAAAATTCCTCTCCAGAATTCCGAAGTACGTTCCAAAGCTGTGGCTGAGAACTCGTTCAGCAGTCCATCTGTGAGTCTGCTCATGCTGAGCTGTGCTCAGGCCAGTCCAATCTAGCCTGGTCGGGTACACTCCATTCTTTTCAGTTCGTTCCTGCACATCGAGTGCCAACGAGCACTCACATGATTCAGTTTCCGGTACGGTCTTTTTGTTTCCTGGCTAAAGGCAGGCGCTGTCATTCCTTGGCAGCAGTATCGCTTACACGCTGCTGAGTCATGCTCCCTGTTCTTGGCCCCCACGGTGCCTGCAAGAAAATCCACTCTCCTCGTCTTTGGATCCAGACTATATTCCCATGTTCCGTTACACGTTCTGTCGACTCTCCCACTCCGTCGCTCTCCTCATGATGGCGTGAAGGTTATCCAGGGGGACTCGGCCGAGGCAGTATGCAAATACAGTGCAGTAGCTTGTGCAATGTGTGGCGCAGCATGTTCTCCTTTGTCTCATCGTTCGGGCAGGTTGATGACCGGCACCCACTGATCCAAATACCTGCTGTCCTTGCAGAAACGGTTCAGCTTGCTCAGGGCTGGGTCCTCGCACGAAGAGGACGGTGGTTTCTGCAAAGAAAAAAAAAATGACGAGTTAATTAATGAACTGTAAATGAGGCATTGAAACACATTTTGCATTTCCTGAACACTGCAGCCAGGAGAGTTGCATGGCAGCTTGGCCCACACAGCAAGTCTGGAAGTGAGTGACTTTAACTGCTGCTTGCTAACTTACAAGAAGCGGTTTTCGCAAGATCCCGCTCTAATTTGCAAAAAGGTGGTCACTTTACAGAGCTTTTCTTCCAGGAAACGCTGCTTGCACAAGCGGCCCCACAGGAAGCGCTGTGAAGTCTGCCAGAGGCAGCCGCAGCGTCTCAATAACTAGAGACAGATCGCTCCGTACGGCTGCCAATTTACTGCAGCTCCAGACCGACTGGAATTCCACATCACAGGCAGGCGAGCAGATCAGGGAGCCTAACTACTAAAAACAGGCCGCCTTCAAAGGCTGCGGCTAAAGCTACTCTATCAGCCCAGTCGGTCTTCTGGCAGTGCGCAAGACCCGCCAAATGTGCCGTGAATTTCCAAGAAAGCATCCAATCCACAAGCAGCATCGTGCACGGGAATCCACACCCAGAGTCTCAGACATTTAGCAAGGTGTGAGCAAAGTCACCGAACCATCTGCATTTCAATAGTTAACGCTTAATTGATTAATGCTCCCCTGCGGCTACTGCAGGACGGATGACTCAGGCAGAAAGCGACACGTACGGTGACTAATACACAGTGCAGGTCCATGGGCTCTCCTCCAGGTTTCACTCCCTCCAGGATCTCGGCGAGGCGCCTCATGTTGTTCACCCGCAAGATATTGATGTCGTTCTCGCAGCAGAAAGCCTGGATCAGAGTGAAATGGATCTGAAGGGCCACGTCCTGGACATCATCCTCGTCTGTGGCCAAGAGACACAGGACCACGTTGTCCGGATCCCTGGGAAGGACAGAACGAGAACAAAGGGTCAGACAATGAACAAAGCAAATGCCAAAAGAACTAGAAGTATTTCAAATATCAGCACATGCATTTCAGGAATCACAGATGCCTTGTTTACTTACACATTTAGCGACTTTGCAGCCTCATAGACCCCCACAGTAATGCAGCCCTGGGGTAGAGCTGCGGTCAGCACCTCTTCCAGAGCCTTGACCACTGAGGCCATCCTGCAGAACAAGAAATTAAAGAGGTCAGATCTGCTAGTTCACCGCCAGTTCTACACAGATGGCTCTACAATGGCTTTTTATAAAGGGAATGGTTCTATTTACAGTCATGAACTCTATATAGAACCATTGCATGCTTAAATGGTTCTTTGCATGGTGAAATGGTTCTTCAGACTGATGGAGAATGTGTTGCATATGGCTCTTCAGACTGATGGAGAACATGTTGCATATGGTTCTTCAGACTGATGGAGAATGTGTTGCATATGGTTCTTCAGACTGATGGAGAATGTGTTGCATATGGTTCTTCAGACTGATGGAGAACGTGTTGCATATGGTTGTTCAGACTGATGGAGAACGTGTTGCATATGGTTGTTCAGACTGATGGAGGATGTGTTGCATATGGTTCTTTAGACTGATGGAGAACGTGTTGCATATGGTTCTTCAGACTGATGGAGAACGTGCTGCATATGGTTCTATATAGCACCAAAAAGGGTTAGCTGTGATGTCAAGCTTGCAACAATAGAAGAACCCTTTATTGGTGCTATATAGAACCATAAACGACACATTCCCCACCCATTTCGCCAGGCAAACAACCATTTAAGCATGCATATGGTTCTATATTGAACTCACGCATCCAAACAGAACCATTTCCTTTACTAAGAACCCTTTTTTTCAGAGTGTAGCTTTGTGGCATCGTGAGAAAAGCATCTAGAACACATTTGATAGCAAGAGTGACAGGAAAGGTACTTAAACTGACTTATTTACAATTTATAACAGGTTAAACGGATGAAAAGCATGATGCATTCGGTACATCCGCAGGTATAAAGAGCTCACTAGTGCAGAAAAGTGAGGAGAAATGAAAGTTAGTGCTGCTGAAGCCTCGTGACGCCGGTGTCTGCCTGTGAGCTCCTCGTGAGCATGCACGCGCTGAAGCATTATCTGGAACCCCTGAGCTTTGCTGCTCGTTCATTTCCTACGTTTAAGTCACTTTAGACGTGCTAGCTAGTCGCGAGAGTATCTAGAACCACTCAGAACGATGAGATGAGCTTCTTTACCACGTTTCTATGCAGATAAGTGAGCGGACTCTACCTTTCTGACGCGTTTTCCCCGCTGAGCTCCTCCAGTGTCATCCTGCACATCAGGCTGCGGCTCCTCCGACTGACTCGACTGCGCTTGTGAGCTAGTAGGGTGAGCGCGAGCCCGAGCGGGGCGTGGCTTTACTCACTACTCGATTTGCATACGGCGCTCCTATTGGCTGGCCGCGAAGTGCATTACACCCAATATCAATTGTCAACTTATATTATTTAACTACATATTAAAACCATATTATCTTAAACCTAGTTATAGAAAGGTTTTCACTGTGTCCACTCACTGTCCACTCTATTAGACACTCCTACCTTGTCAGTCCACCTTGTAGATGTAAAGTCAGAGACGATAGCTCATCTGCTGCTGCACAGTTTGTGTTGGTCATCCTCTAGTCCTTCATCAGTGGTCACAGGACGCTGCCCACAGGACGCTGTTGGCTGGATATTTTTGGTTGGTGGACTATTCTCAGTCCTGCAGTGACACTGAGGTGTTTGAAAACTCCAGCAGCACTGCTGTGTCTGATCCACTCAGACCAGCGCAACAGACACTAACGCACCACCACCACGTCAGTGTTACTGCAGTGCTGAGAATGATCCACCACCCAAATAGTACCTGCTCTGTGAGGGTCCATGGGGGTCCTGACCACTGAAGAACAGGGTAAAAGGGGGCTAACAAAGTATCAGAGAAACAGATGGACTACAGTCTGTAACTGTAGAACTACAAAGTGCTCCTATATAGTAAGTGGAGCTGATAAAATGGACAATAAGCGTAGAAACATGGAGGTGGTCATCATGTTACGGCTGATCGGTGTGTATATTGATTATTTTAGAGGTGCTTTTTTCAATTTAAATGTAAAATTAAACTTTTGCACATCATGGGCGTCAATTTTACTTTTTCTACTTGGCGTAGAAATAAATGTGATTTGTAAATGAAATAGAATAGTGTTCTTGTTTTTTTTAAATTAAACTTGGATATTAATAATATGATTAAAAACAAAATGTTTGCATGTGTTTTGAGGTAAAATATCAGACTGTCCAACATTTAGGTGATAGATTAATTTTATTTGAAAAACTGAATTCGAAGAGTTAATATTAGTCCAGCACGCTGTTATTTTCTCCACATAAAGCGCTGAAGTGATTTGTTATGAAGCTACAGCGACATCGTGTGCCCGATTCGAGAAGTGCAGGATGGCTTCACTGTAAAACTCCGTTATTCCGGTTTCAGCTGGTGGTAACCAGTGGGTTATTTCCACATGAGTAAACCGAAATACTGGGAAGAGTCGTCAGTTGCAAAAGTAGGAATAATCAATCGGGACATTTGGCATACATGTGTCGTAATACATGACACACTGACCCATCACCTAACATACTGTCCCATGATGTCTAACACAGTCTTCTAATACCAGACACACTGGCCCATAACACCTAGCTAACTGTCCAGTATGACCAAACATGCTGTCCTAGAATACCTACACTGTCCTCTCTCTGTAAATTTCTCTGTTAAAATTTGGGTGAAAATTAGGGAGGTTAGGGAACCAGTCCTGTGACCGGGAGGTCGTCGGTTTGATTCCCCAAGCTGACAGTACGTGACTGAAGTGCCCTTGAGCAAGACACCTAACCCCCAACTGCTCCCTGGGCGCTGTGGATAGGGCTGCCCACCACTCCGGGCAAATCTGCTCACTGCCCCCTAGTGTGTATGTGGTGTTTCACTGGTGTTATGTGGTGTGTATGTGGTGTATGTGGTATGGGGTGTTTCAAGCAGTGCAACACAACAACAACAATAATAATAATACATCTAGTAACTGATACATAAAAAATACATTTTTTCTTTTTATTATTATTATTTTGTAGAAACACGCTACAGCCAGGAGAGAGAGAGATGAGAAATAAACATACAAATAATCAATCATAAAATAAGAAAATAAATAAATGATGATAATAAAACAAACTAGTACAGAGCAATATAAATCACTAGTATAGTAGTATAGTGGTGTTTCACTGCACGGATGGGTTGAATGTGGAGGTGAAATTTCCCCACTGTGGGACTAATAAGGGTCATCACTTAATCAGATGCACAGGAAAATGGTGCAAGGCTATTTCTGTCTTCAAAAACATGTAATTATTTATAACACACTGTCCCATACCTGACAGATGTGTGGCCTTGTCCTATAGTAATACTGCAGCTTGCTGAGTAATGTGCATTAGGAAACTCCACATCACCACATCTGGACCAACCCATTGTTTTCTGTGAAGCTTGTGCACAGGTGAGACACAAAACTGTACAGGAACCTGCAGCTGCATGTGAAAGTTTAGGCCCCCTTTGATCT